TTAATGATTCATACTCTGGAAAAGTACAGGGAAGGGCAGCTAAACTGATACGAGGCATGGAGAAGCTCAGCTTGCATAACATTCAGTGGAATGTTATGCAATGGCCAAGTAAATCACCTGACCTGAATCCGATTTGAGCATGCATTTCACTTGCTGAAGACAAAACTGAAGGGAAAATGCCCCAAGAACAAGCAGGAACTGAAGACAGTTGCAGTAGAGGCCTGGCAGAGCCAAACTGTTGTAATTCCTATACCGTTCACCTGATTTGGATGTAAATACCGTCAAATTAAAGCTGACAGTCTGCAGTTAAAGCATGTCTTGTTCGTTTCATTTCAAATCCATTGTGGTGGTGTATAGAGCCAAAAATGTTGGAATTGTGTCGATGTCCCAATATTTATGGACCTGACTGTATGTATGTATATGTGTGTGTGTATTTTCAGAGTCTAACCATTTTCCCAAAAAATACAGTCCTGAAGAAGGGGGAGTCATTTCCCCCGAATCACGTTAGCTCTACTTGTTTACATTTATCTTCAGTAAACAACTTTAAAATTCATCAAGTGAGACTTTTTTTTTTTTTTTTTAATATCGGGCACTCTTCTCCAATCACTCAAGTGTTCCCTGCGGAAATACCTTCATTGTTGTCATCAGAAAGGTAGCAGCCCTAGACCACAATAGAGTCTGTCACCCAACTACAATTGGGATATAACATAGTTCGTCTGGCTGAAAAAAGACAAAAGTCCATCCAAGTCAACCATAGAGAAAAAAAAAAATTTCTAATCCTATACCCACAGTTGATCCAGAGGAAGGCAAAAAAAAACCCAGCAAAGCACGATCCAATTTGCTCCTGCTGGGGAAAACATTCCTTCCTGACCCCCCGAGAGGCAATAGGATATTCCCTGAATCAACTTTACCTATAAATGTTAGTATCCAGTTATATTCTGTGTATCTAAGAAAGAATCCAGGCCTTTTTTTTTTTTTTTTTTTTTTTTTTTTTTTTTTTTTTTTGAAGCAATCCACTGAGCTGGCCAGAACCAACTCTTGAGGGAGTCTATTCCTCATTTTCACAGCTTACTGTGAAGAAACCTTCTGCGTTTTGGAGATTAAATTTCTTTTCCTCCAGACGTAAAGAGTGCCCCCTTGTCCTCTCTGATGATCTCAGGGTGAATAGCTCTACACTGAGTTCACTCTATGAACCACTGATGTATTTATACATGTTGATCATATCCCCCCTTAACCTCCTTAGCGGTATTCCCGAGTGTAGCTCGGGGTAAAATTTCAGTACCAAGAGCGGTAACCCTGAGCTACACTCGGGCTTACCATGCGGCGTTGCTCAGGGAGTCACTGCAGCGCTTACATTGTCCTTCGCTCCCCGCGATGTGTCCCCTGCAGCGTCCCCGGCCATCTCCTCCGGCCGATGCCGGCATCCGGCTTCCGTGTTCCAGTCCCTGTGACGTCGGGACGTACGGGCGACGGAACCGGCGGCAAATTTGAAATTTTTAAAAAATGTCATTTTTTTAAAAAATGATTATTACAGTCAGGTCCATAAATATTGGGACATCGACACAATTCTAACATTTTTGGCTCTATACACCACCACAATGGATTTGAAATGAAATGAACAAGATGTGCTTTAACTGCAGACTGTCAGCTTTAATTTGAGGGTATTTACATCCAAATCAGGTGAACGGTGTAAGAATTACAACAGTTTGCGTATGTGCCTCCCACTTGTTAAGGGACCAAAAGTAATGGGACAGAATAATAATCATAAATCAAACTTTCACTTTTTAATACTTGGTTGCAAATCCTTTGCAGTCAATTACAGCCTGAAGTCTGGAATGCATAGACATCACCAGACGCTGGGTTTCATCCCTGGTGATGCTCTGCCAGGCCTCTACTGCAACTGTCTTCAGTTCCTGCTTGTTCTTGGGGCATTTTCCCTTCAGTTTTGTCTTCAGCAAGTGAAATGCATGCTCAATCGGGATTCAGGTCAGGTGATTGACTTGGCCATTGCATAACATTCCACTTCTTTCCCTTAAAAAACTCTTTGGTTGCTTTTGCAGTATGCTTTGGGTCATTGTCCATCTGCACTGTGAAGCGGCGTCCAATGAGTTCTGAAGCATTTGGCTGAATAGGAGCAGATAATATTGCCCGAAACACTTCAGAATTCATCCTGCTGCTTTTGTCAGCAGTCACATCATCAAATACAAGAGAACCAGTTCCATTGGCAGCCATACATGTCCACGCCATGACACTACCACCAACATGCTTCACTGATGAGGTGGTATGCTTAGAATCATGAGCAGTTCCTTTCCTTCTCCATACTCTTCTCTTCCCATCACTCTGGTACAAGTTGATCTTGGTCTCATCTGTCCATAGGATGTTGTTTCAGAACTGTGAAGGCTTTTTTAGATGTCGTTTGGCAAACTCTAATCTGGCCTTCCTGTTTTTGAGGCTCACCAATGGTTTACATCTTGTGGTGAACCCTCTGTATGCACTCTGGTGAAGTCTTCTCTTGATTGTTGACTTTGACACACATACACCTACCTCCTGGAGAGTGTTCTTGATCTGGCCAACTGTTGTGAAGGGTGTTTTCTTCACCAGGGAAAGAATTCTTCAGTCATCCACCACAGTTGTTTTCCGTGGACTTCCGGGTCTTTTGGTGTTGCTGAGCTCACCGGTGCGTTCCTTCTTTTTAAGAATGTTCCAAACTGTTGTTTTGGCCACGCCTAATGTTTTTGCTATCTCTCTGATGGGTTTGTTTTGTTTTTTTCAGCCTAATGATGGCTTGCTTCACTGATAGTGACAGCTCTTTGGATCTCATCTTGAGAGTTGACAGCAAAAAATTCCAAATGCAAATAGCACACTTGAAATGAACTCTGGACCTTTTATCTGCTCATTGTAATTGGGGATAATGAGGGAATAACACGCACCTGGCCATGGAACAGCTGAGAAGCCAATTGTCCCATTACTTTTGGTCCCTTAAGTGGGAGGCACATATGCAAACTGTTGTAATTCCTACACCGTTCACCTGATTTGGATGTAAATACCCTCAAATTAAAGCTGACAGTCTGCAGTTAAAGCACATCTTGTTAGTTTCATTTCAAATCCATTGTGGTGGTGTATAGAACCAAAAATGTTAGAATTGTGTCGATGTCCCAATATTTATGGACCTGACTGTATATAGTAAAACATTGCTGTTTCAATGCATTTCACAAATATTTTTGTCCCTAGTGCTTTGTCTTGTGCCCTGCCTACATTTTGACTGTTCTTTCTGCCTGGAAACTTAGAAAAGTCCATAGCGTCCAAAAAGCGTCCCTTTATGTCAAAAGCGGTTTTAGACCAGCCAGAGAACAGCGATAGTAAATTAGAACCACTTGCAGAATTGAGTGATAATGATTCATGGGGAAATTCGTCATCGGACACTGAAAACGATTTTGCGACTTTGCTCAGCGATGTGCGAATTTGCCTCTGTATTTCAAATTTCAGTGTTTTTGGTTTGATTATATTATTGAATTAAATGTATTATGTTTTATGATTATTAATTAAATTATAATTTATGATTTCGTGTTTCAAGTTTTATCATATCTGGAATGTTTACTAGGCTTTTGTTCGGACAGATTTCAGTGAGTTATTCCTAAATTACAGGCCTACAATAAAAAACTACATATTTCCATGCAAAAAAATGGTACCGCTTTCAGCACCAAAAATCGGAAATAATCATACCGCCAGGGAGGTTAATCTCCTCTTCTCGAGAGAATAAATTCAGTTCCTCTAATTTTTCCTGATAGCTGAGCTTCTCCATGCCTCGTATCAGTTTAGTTGCCCTTCTCTGTACTTTTCCAGAGTATGAATCATTAACCACTACTCTTTGAATACGATCCTTTAGACAGTTTTCTATCCATTTACATACAGATTTTTCCAAGCCCGTAGACTTTACCTTACACATTAGCCATGTGTGGGGAACTGTGTCAAACGCTTTTTCAAAATCTAAGTATACCATGTCCACTGCCACCCCTCTGTCCAAAGTTTTGCTCACCTCCTCATAAAAAGAAATCAGATTTGTTGGACAACTTCTGTCTTTCATGAATCCATGCTGTCTGTTGCTTAAAATATTTTTTTTCCTGCAAGAACTCGTCTATGTGGCGTTTTTATTAAACTCTTCAGTATCTTCCCAACTATAGAAGTTAAACTAACAGGTCTATAATTACTTGGTAAAGATGTTGACCCCTTTTTTAAATATTGGCATCACATTGGCCTTATGCCAATCCAGTGGTACTATGCCAGTCATTAAAGAGTCCCTAAAAAATTCTTCACTGGAAACAATCCCTTCTATACCTTCCACACAGTAACTTTCCACTAGACAGCCTCCAGTGGCACCAGTCCAGCGCGGTCTTCCATTCAAACTCTATTTTACATGAGCTGTACCTGTTTATCTGAGCCGTATTTCCCTACATCCATTGAAAGTGCAGAATTTACACAGGATGAAATGCAGGGGGTGGGGAGCTGAAGTTACATCAGTGAGGAGAGTTTTCCTGACTGTATATTTATTTTTCAGGTCCAAATATTTGGGAGTTTCAAAACAGGACTTTATTTGCCTACCAGGTAAGGTTTGTGTGTTTCATTTCACTTTTTTCAAGTGTTGGTTAAATCCATGAAAAATTGTTCATAAGATCTTAACGGTGTTAAGATTCTCCCTGTAAATCCCAACTAGTTAAGTTAATGTTCTTTGAACAAAAACAGATTTTTCTGATGTTTTGAGGGTTTTTTTAAGTCCTTCTGTGTTTAAAAAAAAAAGTGTCCAATGGTTCGCTTTAGATGGTGAATATTTTTTTAAGGTGATAATTGTGCAACTTTACCTATTCGCAGATGATTCAGTGTTTGATTTCTGACTAACCTGTTACTGTAGTTGTAAGACTGCCCTATCTCTTGCTTTATCTCTGTTATAAAGGATAAGTTCACCTTTTAGAGAAAAAAAATAAATGCAGTTTTTGCAGGTAAAAAAATGTGCATTTATTATTTGTCTGCAGGAGCCTGTAAACCAGTGCACCAGCGATCAGCAGATCTCTGATGCCATGCAGGTCTCCTGCAGATGTGTCAGTATATCTGCTTGCTCATGCGGGTTGAACGAGAAAGCAGATATACTGACAAAATCAATGTACTATCATGGTGCTCCACATCGCTGTGGCAGTTCATTGAGGACTACAAACTGACCGCTGCTGAGGCTGTCGGGACAGATGACTGTGAATGAGTGATGCGGCCCTGTGGGCGAAGCCCCATACGGCCACATTTACAAAAAAAAAAAATGACAGCTACCGAGGGAAGAGAAGATTTACCCCCAACCCCCCTCCACCCCCCCAGCTTTCAAAGCAGGGAGCGGGGGCCGGTCTGATCGTAGCATGTTACACCCTGAATATGGATGTAACCTGTTAAGAAAAGTGAACTTCTTCTCTCCTTTCAGACTTTCACTAATCTGTGCCTGACCAGAGCCGTTAGAGTGCTAGACAGTGGTCAGACTCTGGTTCTTTTTCAACTGCTCAGTTATACTTGTACACATTGCGCAACTACTGTAATAGTAAAGTAGGGGGAAATTAAGGGTATTCGGACAATGTTTATCTGACTTCTTTTGCTTCAGTTGACTTCATCTACACTTCAGCCAATATGGCAGACCTACCAAGCAAAGGGATCCCTCCAGTGCTACAGTGTCCATGCCCAACTCCATTGAGCACTTACTGACTTTATCATTCTCCTGGTGCAGAGTTTTCAGCCATTTTGGTTGGCCGGAATGACACAAGTCCCTAACATTTGTATGTGAATTAGATTGTCCTGGTACAGAATCATGCTGAGCCTGTACACTGAGCTGCGAATACATGGCTCAGTGTACACAAACAGTAAAGGGTGCAGGCAGGCAAGTAGATCTAGTAGTTCATATACTAGTACACCCAGTAGTACATCTTTGACAGAAGTAACGCATGCTTCCAAAAACATCAATCTTTAAGCACTTGTTAACAAAGCAACTTTACTTCTATTTTAATATATAAAGCCGCTTTCACAGTAATTCTTGCCATCTCTCTGGCCCTCTGCTCCCCAAGCTCATTGACCTGAAGTCCAGCACCACTTGTTTTCTTGGTTGAATGATGCCAAGCGTCATGAAGCTCAAATACTGTCAGCCCAGGGCATCGAGGTACCACCTCCTGGGGGTACATCCTTAACCCTTTGAGGACCATAAGATTACGGAACGCCAAAAGAATCAATTTTTTGTTTTTAAAGTTTGTACACTTCAGTTGCTGTAATTAAGCCATTTCATGAAATAATTGGCAAAAAGCAAGAACCATTTGTTGAGAAGAACTAATATTTTGACTCAAACCAAAAAAAAAAAAAAAAAAAGTATTTTAAGTTCTTAATCAGATGATACAGGCAATTAAAAACATGGGACAAATACGTCCCTTGGTCCTCAAAGGGTCCCCTTAGGGGAATGCTGCAGGTAAAACCACCACATTGATTGACTTTCTGTAAAGTACAACTATGGCTGGACTGCACAAGATTAACTGTTACTCACACAATCACTTCTTAAAACTGTTAGTAATTTAAAAAATTATTTAAAGGACTATGCCCAGGTCATTATTATTACCATAGAAATGAAGAGAGCTTTTGCCACTAAGGACAATCAGATTGGACAGTGCAATGGATTTTGGTGTTACAGGCACCCAGTAACAAAGTGTAACTATTTAACAAGGTTCACAGAGAAGTGATTTCTGACTAACAAAGTTAACAGAAGGCATCTTTTATTTATAACCATTGGCTAATGCATTTATGGATTAATGTTCATAATGCGATACTATATATATATATATATATATATATATATATATATATATATATATATACACACATACGTAAAACTTTCAAAGAAGAAAGCTGCCATTGCTTATTTTCTGAAGTTGCTAGTGTGGGAGCCGTAGGTGACAACGTTGCTGCAATGATGTACTCCGAGTGAGAAATGTTTAGTTTGGAGTTTACATTTTGAAGATCAAGTTCACCTTTTTACAGAAAATAGCCTCTGCAATCAAGGGGACCCAGATATTAAATGCATATGCAGCTTTGTAAAATGTTCATTAATTAGACTGTCCTATCTGTAGGCTTGAGGTTCCCCCCCAGTTGGCAATCCCCACATCCTGCCTTGTTGCTTGTTTGTGTAGCCCAGTTTTCTCTGTACGTTAAGTTTTACCTTACCATGTTACGTGTCCTTATATGCCACTTTATTCTACTGCATTTAAATTGTTGAGCTGCACAAAGACTGCTTTCTCAAGACTTGTGTGACACTACATTGTCAGCAATTTGTATATAAGTCTGAGTGATTTCATTATGTTAAGATAAATAAATCAAACTATGTATCCAAAGTGAAAACCGTTAATAACTGCCTATGAATGTGCTTTCCTTGCAGTGACATTGACCTAGTTGTTTTTGGAAAATGGGAGAATTTACCACTGTGGACACTTGAAGAGGCATTGCGGAAGCACAAAGTGGCTGACGAAAACTCAGTTAAAGTTCTTGACAAAGCCACGGTTGGTTCAACTTTTGTTTATGTAGCCATACATATAGTCGATTGTCCAATATTGTGCACCTGTTTTTTAACAGAACATGTTGCTACTTGGTTTGTGCAGGATTCTTAATCCTTTCTAGAGAGACCCTGTCACCACCCTAACAATTGCAGATAAGAGCACTGTAAAATCAAGTGTTACCATGTCCCCTCAATGATCATTTATTTTACAAAACCATATTAAAACACATTGTGTTTGAGTAAGCGCCGAATTTAGCACGAAACGCGTCACCTTTTCATTGTTCCCTTCATACCTGTGATTTAATTTTAATGCTTCAATAAAGACACTTTGTAAGTACAGTTGACTCTGCAGGTGCAGCAATATTCCAGATTTGTGCATGTTACTGAATCTCAGATGAGCTATACAGTTCTCTGGGATCCAATTCACATGGGAGAGTCTGTTATTCACCTAGAACCTCATTATTTTGGCTTCACTTGCAATATTATTATACAGTATTTATAAAGCGCCAATAGTTCGCTCAGCGCTGTACATTACAAAGGGGGACAGAACGTGTGACAGAACAATAACAATACAATGCAAAACATGAGGGGATCGAGGGTCCTGCTCTTTCAAACTTACAATCTAGGAGGGAGGGGATGGTGGCACAGGAGGAGAAAGCTGTGGGGGACAGAGTGGTAGGAAGAGTGGTGGAGGTCGGCAAATTAGCAGGGGGTGGGGTAGGCTTCCCTGAAGAGGTGGGTTTTCATGGTGCGCCTAAAAGAGAGGAGAGTAGGTGATAATCTGATGGGTTGGGGCAGGGAGTTCCAGAGGATGGGTGACACCCTGGAGAAGTCCTGGAGGCGGGCATGGGAGGAGGAGACCAGGGAACTAGAGAGAAGGAGGTCTTGTGAGGAGCGGAGTGTGCGTGCTGGGTGGTACTTGGATATTAGGTCGGTGATGTAGTTCGGGGCAGTATGGTGAACGGCTTTGTACGTCAGTGTTAGGATTTTGAATTTGATCCGTTGCGCAATCGGAAGCCAGTGGAGGGATTGGCAGAGGGGGGTGTCGGAAATGGAGTGGCTGGAAAGGTGAATGAGTCTGGAAGCCGTATTCAGGATCGACTGAAGCGGGGATAGCCAGCGGCGAGGCAGGCCAGTAAGGAGGGAGTTGCAGTAATCGAGTCGTGATATGATGAGGGAGTGGATGAGCTGCTTAGTGGTTTCTGGGGTTAGGAACGTGCGTATTTTGGCGATGTTGCGGAGGTGGAGTCTGCATGAGTTTGTTAAAGATTGGACTTGGGGCTGGAAGGATAAGTTGGAGTCCAGAATGACACCAAGTACTCTGGCCTGCGGGGCGGGTTTGATGGTGGTGGTGTTGGACATGATGGAGAAGTCAATGGGGGGCGGGGTCCAAGCTGGGGGGAAGACAAGAAACTCGGTTTTAAAAGAGGTTCAGTTTAAGGAAGTGGAGCGACATCCAGTCTATGTCGCTCAGTAGATGTGTGATTCGGGCGGAGACTGAGGGGGTGAGGTGGGGGGTTAAGAGATAGATTTGTGTGTCGTCGGCATATAGGTGGTAGTTGAAGCCGTGAGAGTGTATGAGTTGGCCAAGGGAGGAGGTGTAGATGGAGAAGAGAAGGGGCCCGAGGACTCAGCCTTGAGGGACCCCAACAGAGAGTGGGAGTGAGGGGGAGGTGGTAACATTATAGGTAATGCTGAAAGAGCGTTGTGACAGGTAGGATGAGAGCCAGAATCTCTGAGGCTGACTGAGTGTAGTTTTTTTAGGAGGAGGGGGTGGTAGACTGTGTCGAAGGCCGCGGAGAGGTCAAGGAGTAGGAGCACTGAATAGTGGCCATTAGCTTTGGCGGTTAGGTCGTTGGAGAGTTTGAGTAAGGCCGTTTTGGTGGAGTGTAGGGGACGGAAGCCGGACTGTAAGGGATGGAGGAGGTTGTTGTCGTTGAGGTGAGAGCTTAGGCGGGTGTAGACTATGCGCTCGAGGAGCTTGGATGTGAATGGGAGCAGGGAGATGGGTCTGAGGTTGTTCGGGTCATTGGGGTCCAGGGAGGGCTTTTTAAGTGTGGGGGTGATGTGTGCATGCTTCACAGGGGAGGGGAAAGTGCCGGAGGAGAAGGAGAGATTAAAGATGTAGGTGAGGGAGCATAGGATTGAGGGGGAAGCAGGTTGTAGGAGTTGTGAGGGGATAGGGTTGAGGGGGGCAGGCGGTGAGGCGGGCATCAGAGAGGACCTTGGAGACTTCCTCGATGGTAGTAAGGTCAAAGGCGCGGAGTGTTGAGGGGGCTTCAGTATAAGGAATGAAGGGTGGGGTGGAAGTGGAGGTCAGAGCAGTGGTGGGGTCGTGGGAGAGGGGTGATGAGGGGTTAGCTGAGTGAGGGGGAACGGGGTTGGAGGGAGTTTGAGCAGTGACGAAGTCCCTGCGGGTTATGTCGAGGGAGAGGGGGGATGAGGGGGTAGCTGTGTGAGAGGGGACGGGTTGAGAGGGAGTGTGAGTTGCGGCGATGTCCTTGCGAATTGTGTCAATCTTGTTTTTGAAGTGATTGGCAATCTCAAGGGCGGTGAGTGAGGTGCTGGGTGGAGGTGGGGGTGGAGAGAGTAGAGAGTTGAAGGTGGAGAAGAGTCGGTGAGGATTGGAGGAGAGGGCCTTGATGAGGGTCAGGAAGTCGGCTTGTTTGGCTGCGTGGAGGGAGGTGTAGGTGTGGAAGGCAGATTTGTAGCGGGTGAAGGCTTGTTGGGATTTGGTTTTGTGCCATAGTCGCTCCAGGGCACGACTGCGTCGTTTGAGGGTTTTGGTGTGATCAGTTTGCCAGGGCTGGAGCGGTCGGGGTCAACTCAGCGGCTAGACTTATCCACCTCACCACCCGCTCCACCTCTGCCACCCCCCTCTGCCTCTCCCTCCACTGGCTCCCTATCGCCCAACGCATCAAATTCAAACTACTCACTCTGACCTACAAAGCCATTCACAACACTGCCCCTAACTACCTCACCAACCTGATTCCCAAGTACCACCCTACCCGTACCCTTCGCTCTTCACAGGACCTCCTTCTATCTTGCTCCCTGGTCTCCTCCTCACACGCACGTCTGCAAGACTTCTCCAGGTCCTCCCCCATCCTCTGGAACTCACTACCCCAATCCATCAGACTGTCACCTTCCCTCCTCACCTTCAGGCGCTCCCTGAAAACCCACCTCTTCAGGGAAGCCTACCCCACCCTCACCTAACTGCTGCTCTCCTTCATTCCTCCTACCACTCCATCCCCCACAGCCACTTCCTCCTGTACCACTACCCCCTCCCTCCTAGATTGTAAGCTCGAAAGAGTAGGGCCCTATAACCCCTCGTGTGCTGTTTGTAGTTGCTGTAATGTTTCATGTATTGTCCCCCCCTCTATTGTACAGCGCTGAGCAAACCCTTTGGCGCTATATAAACTCAATGTAATGTAATAATGTTGCATGTGGTTAAAGGCACTAGTGAGTCAAGGGCTGTTGACAGTGCATTGTTATAGGCAGTCATAGGCAAAACGGGGCAGGACAGGGGGAGGATGCTGTCGTGGTATTGATCAGCTGCAGAGTGGAGGGAGGCAGGGTTAAGGTTGCGGAGGTTACGGCTGGCAGTAGTGTGACATTTGGAGGGGTAGGCGTTGGAGGACGAGGAGATATCGAAGGTAATCAGGTTGTGGTCAGAGAGAGGGAAGGGGGTGTTAGTGAGCTTGTGGGGAGCGCAATATGCACAATCTGTTTGCATTTAGTAAATCAACCCCAATATGTCTTCTAGGACTCCACATTTAAGGCCTAGAAAATAACCCCTATAAATCCTGAGGATGGCAAAGTGAATAAGTGAGGGTTTTTACAAAGTAAGTTTACAAATTTCGAAGATAATTTAGAATAATAGGAGAGTGCTAGAAATGTAATAGAATGTGGAAATTAAAATACAATTTTAAATTTTAACTACACTTTCCTTTAATTTTTTTTGAGCAGAGTATAGCATCAATTCAATTTAACTCCTGGGATATTAATCTGGTCAGTTAAGTAGCAGAGGGCGTTGTTAATCAGTTTCAGCTGCTTTGGTGTTAATGAAATTAACAGGTGCACTAGATGGGCATCAATGAAACTACCTCCAAAACAGGAATGGTTTTACAGGTGGAGGCCACTGACATTTTTTTCTCCTCCTTTTTTCTCTTTTTCACTAGTTTTGCATTTGGCTAGGGGTAATGTCACTACTGGTAGCGTGAGGCAATACCTGAACCCTACAGAGACTGCCTACAGGCTGTCCTACTCCTCCATGATGGCACATCAATCAAGAGCATGGAGGAGTTTCCAGGAGAACAGGCAGTTACTCTAGCAGAGCTGGGCAGGGACGTAGGTCTTTAACCCATCAGCAGGATCGATATCTGCTCCTTTTGTGTAAGGAGGAACAGGATGAGCACTGCCAGAGCCCTACAAAATGACCTCCAGCAGGCTACTGGTGTGAATGTCTATGACCAAATATCAGAAACCAACTTCATGAGGATGGCCTAAGGGCCCGATGTCCTCTAGTTGGTCCTGTGCTCAATGCCAGCACCATAGAGCTCGATTGGCATTTGCCATTGAACACCAGAATTGGCAGGTCCGCCACTGGCGCCCTGTGCTTTTCACAGATGAGAGTAGGTTCACCATGAGCACGTGACAGAGTCTGGAGAAGCCGTGGAGAATGTTATGCTGCCTGTAACATTGTTCAACATGACTATTTTGGTGGTGGGTCAGGGTGTAACATGTTCTCCTCCCTGTTAGCTGTCACAATTTAAAAGAAAAAAAAAAAAAAAAAAGTGGTCCACCCGGCCGTGTCACTCATTCACTGTATTCTGGGAAAACTATAAGTCCCGGTAGTCTTTGTGGCAGTCGGCTTGTAGTTTTTGATGAACTACCACGGCACCCCACATTGCCATGGTAGTTAATTGAACCTTCCTGCCAGTGAGTATCTGCTTGCCTGTACGGGATGTATGAGCAAGCAGATACTGACAGGTCAGAGGGAGATCT